TCCCCTTTCCCTTTTCTTTTTCTTTTCTTTTCTCTTCCTTTCTAGAAACAGACATATTTTACTAGACAGGTATTTATCCTGGCTTGATTATTGTTGGTCTGTGATTATTCCCTGACTTACAACTTGCTGTGGTTTCATGATAGATTTGTTTTTGTTTTTTTTTTACACTAACATAAGGAATTTTAATTTCGAGGCACTATTTAAGAATTGGACTTCGGTCTGGAGATAGCATGAGCACATTTTGGTGCCACCATATTGAGGACCTTATTTGAACCCTGAATGAGCAAGGATAGGTACCTGGGATTTTAAAGGGAGGAGTTCTTAAATATCAACCAGTTTGTCCCTTTCTTCATTACTTGTTCGTTAATTTTTTTCAACAAATATTTGAGTGTCTGTATGCTCTTCTTCGTGGTAGTCTTTTCTTAGATACTGGTAATAGCCCCTTCCACTCATTATCTGAAGCTGGAAACCTTAAGAGCTGCAATGTCCTTTACAATAGCTGCTAGCCGCAGGTCACTATTTAAATTAACATTAATTAAAATGAAATAAAAAATTCAGTTCCTTAGTCACACCAGCCAGATTTCCAGTGCTCTGTGTGGCTGGAGGCCATCCTGTTGGACATTGTCTATCTAAGCTCTCTATGGAACCTGCCCATTATTGCAGGGAATTCAGCCAGACCGAGCCGCCTTAGTGTTCTTGACTCCACCCTCTCGCCTCTCAGCATCCCATCCGCTTCATCAGCCAGCACCTATGTTTTAGGTCTTCACCTCCCGTCATCTGAATTAAGGCTCCAGTGTTAACAGGGCTCTGAATCCTTTCCTGCCACACCCTGTCACCAGTGGCAACTGTGCCTTCCCCTGTGCTCTCTTGATACCGTGCATATACCTTTACCACATTGAGTGCTAATCCCTTGTTTGTACGACTTTTCTTTATGGTGGACCAAGAGGTTCTTGGGGGTGCAGGATTGGATTTTGGTGTTCCAGGGCAGGGCCACACATAATGCCTGACACATTACCACAATAAAATAAATGTTTATTGAGCAAATAGAGCATTGAGAATGGGTGGGTGAAGGAGGTTGAACCAGGTTGCATTCTGAAGGCAAGAGACAATTCAGATGCATGAAAACTAGAAAAAAAAAGGGCATTCTTGTGTGGGGAGCATCATGGATGCAAGCCCATTTGTAGGAAATTGCAGGGCAGCTCTGCTCCTACACTGTAGCCACAGAGGAGCTTTCTCAGCAATACTCAGAGCTTAATTGTGGGACATAAACAGAATTTGAATTCTGGCTTTGCATATAAATGTGTTTCCCTGTGCTTGCTAACATGACACCTCTTAGTAGAAGTGCTGGGTTTCACACTTAATAACCTTAACCTGTAACTTCAGAGGAGTTAAAAATAACTCTGCCCTGTAAACTTAGGCAACACACTCACAAAATTCAGTTAATTCTTTAAGACCTTTATGGCTATACTTTTATAACTAAAACTATATAAATATAGGCTTATGACTTATGTTAGACATGTTAACAGCACTTTAGGGAAGAAAAATGCATGTGTGCATGTCCAAAAGGAGGCCATCTAACATGGTAAATAAAAAGCGACTGCAGCTAGACAGACTAATCCTGACCCTTCCTCTTCCAAGCTATGTTATCTTGGGTAAGTCACCTTCCGGTCCTCAATTTCCCCCTTTTTATTTATGTATTTATTTATGTATTTATTTATATTTTTAAAATAGATCTTTATTGGTTTCAGAGAGAGAGGAAGGGAGAGGAAGAGAGAGAGTTGAAACATCAGTGGGGAGAGTGATCGATTGGCTGACTCCTGCATGCCCCTGACTGGGGATCGAGCCTGCAACCTGGGCTTGTGCCCTGACCAGGAATTGAACCATGATCTCGATCTCCTGGATCCTAGGTTGATGCTCAACCACTGAGCCACGTCCGGCCGGGCAATTTCCTCCTTTTTAAATGGATATGTTACCTGCCCTGTGAAGATTAAGTTAAATGTAAAATATATGTCACATGTTAGTACTATGCTTAGTCCTGAGTAAAGCATTCACCATGTAATAGCTAATAACAAAATAATAGTTACATAGCCTTTCACAAAATGGGAAAACTCATAGTTGTGTGTGTTACCCAAAGGAATAGTTAGCACATGTTGCTAAACATAAACGGTCATCCAGAAAGTACAGTCAGCTGGATATAACCATCTCTAAAGTGAAGTATATAGTGTTGGTTACTTTCAAAATCATGCAAATAAGATGATATGGGAGAAGTAAAATTTGGCCTGGATCATCTAAAACCCAGAGACAATTCTCTGTATTTGGAAATAGGTGATCACTTATGCAAATTATTGGGAAAAACTTACTTTTTCCTTTTTATTCTGTATAATCAAGAGAGTACCCTATAGCTGCTCCTAAGGAAGGGGAAGAAAATGATGTGCTACTTTTAATTTTAAATAAGCAAACTAGTAGTACATGCATAAATTAGAGTGTCATTGAATGATCTATTTTTTTCATACTTTCAAATAGATATTGACAGTCTTGACTTTGTGGTTCTCATTATGTAAACGCCTACATATAATTCATGCATGTCCAGATAGTTCTCATTAGTAGACTGAAAGCTGCTTTTCTTCCCTATGGAAATTGCTCACTTTTCCCTTCTTCTGCCTACGGCCTTTCCCTAGGCTCACTCCTCCCCATCTCTGTTGACTTCCCCTGAGCTGTTTGATATACCCCACCTCATTTTTGGTGCCATGTTCTTGCTTTTGAGCATCTACCTTATTATAATTAGTCACATTCATGAGACTGAGTTCTTTCATGAGCATGCATTTCCTCATTCGTTTTTGTGTTTAAGGGGGGCTGACATATGCAACACACTGGGTAGTTTTGCTGAATGAATAAATGCTTAGTCACTAAATTTTTCTTGTCTGTGTTCTTCTAAGTAAACAGCAGCTCTCTTTAGGGAGGAAACTATATTATAGTTTTTGGTACCTCACAGCTCCAGCACATGGTAAATGATGTCAGATTGCTCTATATAGGTTTGCTGATAATATCAGTTATCCTGGAAACACTTTAAAGGGTCAATTCAGCAGATTTCAATATTTGTTACTATTTTATCCTCATGCTGTGTACTATTAAAATATGTATATAGTGATTACCAAGATTTTTAGTGAATTTAAATATTTTTGTGTGATATTAATACAAATGCTCATATCTGTTAGAGTTCTTGTGTGAAGGATCAGTATTCAAGTCATTGTGGGCAGTAACTGAACCTGAAATGTATGGGTTTTTGATGGGTAAATGAATTAAGCATTTCAGTTGAATAAACTTTAATGTGCTTGGCTTTTTATTTTTCTGTTCCTTGGCTATTATTTACTATGATTTCTTGAAGTTAATTTTAGAGCTTACTCGGGCCTAGGAGTTGGAATTATCCAGGACTTCACATACCTTATTAGCTCTTTGCTTTAATTTAAAAAGAGCTACTTCCAGGGTTAGTGCTCCCTTGATGAAGTTATTGAAATGTGAAATTTGAATTTAAGACTTTGTTGAAGACTTGAATGCGTTTTGCTTGCCAGTATTTAATTTTTTTTTTCTTTTTAGTTTTAATTTTGATTGCTGTTACTATTGATACCTGAGCCAAAGTGGTGATGCCGCCTGAGGGAAATTTCTGCAACCCCTAAGTCAACATTTATACGGTAAGAGTGTGTGTCTTTTACCCTTAAAGCCATCTAATTTCTATAATGTTATAGTTTAGAATTTTAACTTGAAATAAAATAGGATAAAATATTTTAATATTTCAAAATATTAAATATTATTTTAATATATTAATATTAAGAAATAATATTTTAGAGCTTTAGATGCTAATCAACAGTAAGAATTTGAAAGAAAATTTGATACATTAATTTCATATTAATTTTTATATGAACAACAAATATGACTACATATTTTATTAAACCGAGGTCTCATTTTCCTCCCTGTGTATTTTGCCTATTTACTTTATTTCCTGGGGTTTAACCAGTTCTTTATTATCTGATCCTTGTTAATAATGAATGGGTGTGAGAAGTCAAGATGATAAAACTTAAGCCTGCTCAATTTTTACTGGAGCTTACTCTGAATCGATGTTGTGGTGATTCCAACAATGGTTAACATGAGGTTTTGACTTATTTAAGGATTTAAATGATCTATATTGCTCTGCCTTGAGGGTTAATTCAAGAGTAATGAGACAGAGCAGACTAATAAGACAAGTTATTTCTTTGAGCTTTACTTTCCTCACGTATAAAATGCCATCATTTGTCTTGCATGTTTTATAGAGTTGTAAAAACCAAATAAGATGATGTATGTGGAATTGTCCTTTTTTCCCTTTTTTTGGAAGGGTAGAGGGAGAATAACAAAAAAGTTTTGAGATGGATGAGAGAGAACATATTGCTTTTAATATCCTTTAGAGCAGCAGTGGGGAACGTCTGGCCCGTGGGCTGTATATGGCCTGTGAAATCATTTGGTCTGGCTCTGCCAAGGCAGCTGTAGGTGGGACTCAAAATTCAATAAATCTAGGCGCTTTTTTCATAGCTATTTTTTTTTTATTGTTGAAAGTATTACAGATGTCCCCTCCCCCCCCATTGAT